ATGGTGAACTCACGGTGAAGGATTGTGTTGCCGACAGCGTAAAACGATCCCCCACTTCCTGTGCAGACTCCTCATAGGCAGCCGCAGACTGCAGGAGTGAGCTGCTTGGGAGAGTCTGATGGGAGTTTGAGTGTTCACACAGTGTGTTTCAGGAAAAGCCTGTGTGCTTACAGCATGGCTTTTGCAAATAGATTATTATAAATTTGGTGTATTGGGGGAGAGAGAGAGAGAGCATTTGTTTGGGAGAGTTTTGTTATAGAGTGCTTTAGATATTTCTTAAAACCCTCCCAACTATCTGATTTTTTATATTTTCCTTGCCTTTCACATATTATAGACTTATTTTGTTTATATATAGGGCTATTCTTAGTTAAAAGAGACAAACCCTACAACTAATTTGCATTTAAAAAACAAAAACATTTTTGCTTTATTTATGAATCCGTTTTTTCAGTTGACATCACCATAAGGAGGTTTTTGTCAGATTAAAAGAATAGTTCACCCAAAAATGAAAATTTGCTGAAACTTTACTCGCCTTTAGGCCATCCGAGGTGTAGATGAGTGTGTTTCTTCATGGGAACAGATTTGTAGAAATTTAGCATTACATCACTTTCTCACAAATGGATCCTCTGCAGTGAATGGGTGCTGTCAGAATGAGAGTCCAAAAAATAAACTACACCACTCCAGTCCATGAATTAACCACTTGTGATGCAAAAAGCTCTGTGTTTGTATTAAACAAATCCATCAAGGCATAACTTTAAATCATTGCTTCTGGCCAAACTATGATCCCATAATCAATAATAACTCTTCCTCCAGTGAAAACTGTTTTTGCTTGTTTTGCTTGATCTTTGCATATTTCTCTCTTGATTCCGATAGACAAATTTTTCACTGGAGTAAGCAAAATTATGGATAGAGGACTCGTATTTTAGCTGGAAGTAATGGTTCGAAGTTAGAAACGCCTTAATGGTGGATTTGTTTCTTACAAACACGCAGCTGTTCGCTTCACAATACATTAATTGATGGACCGGAGTCGTGTGGATTACTTGTGTTTTTATCAGCTGTTTGGACTCTCATTCTGACGGCACCCATTCACTGCACTGGATCCATTTGTGATAAAGTGATGTAATGCTAAATCTCTCCAAAATCTGTTCCAAATGAAAAAAAAAAAACTCAACTCCTATGCATATCCTGAGTGAATTTTCAGCAAATTTTCAATTTTGGGTAAACTATTCCTTTAAGCTCACTTCTGGAGATAAAATCAGTTGTAAAAAACTGAAGAGAGAGGGAAAGAAAAGGGAGAGAGAGGATGTGCCCCAGACTTAAGGGGAAAATCAGTCTTGTGGATTTAAGTCCTCTGAAAGACTCGGTGGACTTTGCTTCAGAAGAAACTTCAAACTGTATCTGAAATCTGAGCTCTTTCTGGATCTGTTTTTTCACTTAATCAAGAGGCTGTCTTTCTCTTTCTGTCTTATTGAGCTGAATTCATTTCAAGACGTGAAGAGGAAAAAGGGTTTTATCTTCAAAATACCAAAGCTCTTTGTCATTTTATGTAACATTATTTGGTCATAACTTTAATGCTGCTAGTGAATGTGTATCATACTTGTGGGCTTATATGTCTGAGGTAATGATTTATTACAGCTTCATTTCCTTACCAGTGCCTTGGACTTGAGTACAATGTTTCTATGTTGAAATGACTATATGTGTGTGATGTGGTTCTCCTCAGGGATCACTCTTTGCCTGGGTAAATCTTTTTTCTGTTTCACCCACCCAGAAGAGGCTAATCACACGAAGAACGTGCTGACAGAAAAGACTGCAGGACCCGCAATGTCCCTCAGTACAGGTAAGTGATATCTTCCTCCACCTTCCCCCGATCAGCTCTCAGTTTTGGATCCATTCTGCTGTCTTTTCATAAACAGAGTCACTTGCTTGCAGCCTAATTGGTCCCCTCCATTATCAAGCAGCAGACTGTTTTATATACAGGAAGAGTGCAATTCAGTGCCATCTGTTCTGCTCTTCTGCGCTATTTTGTGATTGTTTGCTTGTTTGTTAAAGGGGTCATATGATGTCATGTGAATATGCTCATCAGTATTAATCAGTGTTGTTTTCTTCTTTCCAGCCACTTTTTTTTAAACATTACCTGTAATTTTTCATAAAATGGGGCCTAAAGCTCTTAAAAGTTAGGTATTTTTAAACAAAATTCCAGTGTTAGATACAGTCAAGAAGGTCAAGGCTTTAGAGGTGGGACAAGCCAAAACCATAATTTAGGAGGGAATGCAGACATTTCAGTTGTTTAAAACTGGCTATATCTTATGCTATCTTAATTTTATGTTACATAATGGTTTATTTAATGACTCTCACAACAAAAGCATGGGATTTGTGCCTCTAATGCAGGGGTGGCGAACGTCCTGGAGAGCCACAGCCCTGCAGAGTTTTGCTTCAACCCTAATCAAACACACCTGAACAAGCTAATCAAAGTCTGAAGGGTTACTAGGAAGCTACAGGCAGGGGAGTTTTAATTAGGGTTGGAGCTGAGCTCTGCAGGACTGGAGTTCGCCACCCCTGATATATCCCATTTAAAATTTTTAAATGAGGGCTGCGGCTCTCCAGGACCGGAGTTCGCCACCCCTGCTCTAATGTTTTAAAAAAGTAATGGGATCCAAAATGTAATGTATTCATGGAAAGTGACATCTCTGCTTTTCTTCCTTTATTTTCTCTTTCTCTTTCTCTTTCTTTCTCTGTGGGCTTTGTGTTGGCTGTGAGACTTTGAGTTAATACAAACATTCATCTTACCACCATGCAGCCGCAGCTGTACAAATGTCCATGTTACCTTGTAAATAAATGACAACGTAAAATCCCATCCATATGGCTCCAGCATACCTGTCAACCCTCCCGTTTTTCCCTGGATTCTCCCGTATTTTACCATTCTATCTCGCTATCATCCTGTTTAAATATTTTCCCGTATTTCTCCCGTGTTTTTAATCTTTCTATAAAAATATCCCACTGGGCGTATTTTATATGTTTGCCACATTCGCCTCCGGGAAACTCCCGTAATTTGTATGGCCTAAACCTCATTGTATGAAAAAGCACCTCAAAAAAAATTTCCAAGCTTGCCCCAGTTGCCAGATCTTGTATGAAATACATCCTTCTCACACAAATGACACATACAAATTTCAACCCATTTGTCCCCTCAACTTGGCAACCTACAACAGTGATGAGTACCGCGGGAAGGAAATGATCACTGGTAGAAATGGGACGGGAGGAGAAGACTCAGGTGGTGCTCCGGTGAAAAAAACAAATATACATGAAAAATTGAGATATAGCTTATACTTCAAAAGGCTATGGTTTAATTGATTAAATATGAGCTCTGCAAGTTGCAAAATCAGGTGCTGCGCTGGTTTGTTTACTGCGGTTACCGGGGAAATGGCTATATTCCTGGCGAAAAGCGAAAGAATGAAGAGAGAATGAATTAGCCTTTTTCAATAAGCCCTTTTGCTTTTTGTTTTAGACCAAAGCCAAAAACTACCCTTATTTTTACGCAGAAAACACGCTGTTGTAAATGTGAACTGGTGGATCGACAAGAAGATAATGAATTATAAAACTCTAA